CATCCTTGTCTATGGAAAACTTAAGGTGCAGCTGATGCGAGCTGGAAAACTGAAATCTCAGCTTACACAGAGGGAAGTCAAGAGAAAGTATCTGGAAATCACGGAATAAAAAATTAAGTTTCACTAACGCTGTTAAAGTGAACATAGCCCATAGAGGAAGTAAACATTTTAATATAGCTATCAGTATTTGGGAGTTTGCGAACCAATTAGATAACTGGATAGAATGGACACATTCCTAAAAACAAATACCAAAACTGACTCAAGGAGAAGCAGGAAATTGGAATAGATATATAATAAGCAAAGACATTAAGCTAGTGATTCTTTTGTGTGTGTGTGTGTGTGTGTGTGTGTGTGTGTGTGTTCCAGTAAAACTTTATTGACAAAACAGGCACCAATCAGATATGGCATGTGGACCACCACTGCTGATCCATGATAGAAATGAACAAACAGATAAATACATCTTATACTCTCCATGAGCAATTTTTAAATTCTAATTGTTTTTTTTTCCCTAAAGGATGGGGGGGGGGGTAGGAGGAACCATCTTACCTGTGTGTCACTGTCATTTACCTTCTCGCTTCCATTTGTAACTCTGGAAGCTAATGGCCTCAAACCAAACTTCCTGTCTGCTTTTAAGATACAGAAGGGGCTGGGAACGTGTTACTGCGGGTTTTTTATTTTAAGGACCGAGATCCTGTTTGCTACTTTTTCCTCCCATCTAGTGAAGTTCTTCATACACAGACGGCCTCTGGTAAGAGTTGAGTAGTGTCTCTTACGCGGCCACCACTCTTTCTCCCATTTCACTGGCAACAATGACCATCTAATTTGGCCTTCTTTGGCACTGCTTATCCAAATAGAGAGTTAATGTATTCAAAGATGAGGCAAATGCAGTTTCTTTCAAAATGCAGGAAAATACCAAACGCAGAACTTGAGTGAGAAACTACCAGAAGAGACTGATCCTGGCCAGAATCAAGTCCAAAGGTTAAACTGTTTGCCCTCCTTATCTAAGGAATGAAAATGCTCAGATGCAGGGCAGAACCTGATAAACACTAAATTGTCTTCAGCAATTAGCAACTTCCGTCACCTGTTATTGCTTGGCTAGTGTCTTCCCAAAAGATATAGGGAAATGCTAATTTAGCCCTTGGGGCCTGTGAATGTCACCTTATTTGGAAATAGGGTCTTTGCAGATGTAATCAAGTTAAGGTGAAGTCATTAGGGTAGATCCTAATCTAATATGACTGGTATTTTCATAAGGTGACAGAAATCTGGACACAGACACACACACAGAGGAGAATGCCACGTAAAGACAGCGATGTGCAGGGAGAAGGAGGCCACATGACAATGGAAGCAAAGATGGGAATGAGGTAGCCACAAGGCAAGAAATATCAGAGATGGCTGATAACTTTCAGGAGCTAGGGGAGAAGCATAGCACAGGCTCGCTCTCAGGCCTCCAGAACCTTGCTGGCACTTTGATTTTGGACTTCTAAGCCTCCAGAACCATGAAAGCACAAACAGCTATTGTTTTAAGTTACTCAGTCTGTGGCAATTTGTGGCAGTCCTAGGAAACTAAGATACCAACTATGGGCTGACACAGAATAATTCAAATAAATTTCATAGAGCGATCCCCTCTCCTCTTGTTAAATGTCCTCCTCACTGTCTAGATACCTCAGTAACAGAGTCAGCTCAGTAATTCTGCCATCAGATGCACAGGCCACATTTGATTTTGATTTATCTTTCAGATAACCCGGGACTTTCAAAGTTAAAGGGAAATGATCATTTTAATACTT